CTACTTTAACACCTTTATGCAGCCCTTGCTGCCTAACCATACTGCAGCCTCGCTGTGTCAACATCTATCCTGTTTATTTATAATTAAATAATTTCATCTTTTGTAATTATTCGTGTTATAAACAATATTTTACTGATTTTTTTTTTATGTGATTTTATTGGAGATGTGCTTTTATTGGAGAGCAAATACAGTATTTGAATGTCCATATATATTTTATATGGATTCATAGTCACACATGCCTCTTAACTTTGATGTTTCACTTTATTCATTTTCAGTTTTTGAAATTCTTGTGAGGTATGTGCAGTCTAATGATTGGAAAGAAGCATTTATAAAAACCATCCCTCAGAGAAAAGGTGTGAGCGAAGCCATTGATGCTAATCCGTGCACCGTTACGTCAATTAACAATGACAGTCTGGCCAAGGAGGGAACATCTATCGACAGTGAGCCGGATGACATCAATCAGGGTACGTTGATCGCAAGTATTGGTTGTGAATTAAAATCTGAAGCAAGTACTGTAACTACTGTAGAAGTCCCTGTTGAGGAAAAAAGTGCAAACACTAAACTTTGACGAAGTAAAGTAAAATAGGTTTTAATTAGGAAAAGGACTGCATTTGCATATCTTTGCATATTTTTGCATATAGGGTACTCTTTTAATATCCCCTATATTCATAGTACAACTGTACAAACTAGAATAACCAATCCAACAACTCGTATTACTCGTATCCACTCAACCAACTTTCATTACAGCTGATCTGATTGGTTCTAGTTTGTTAGGTATCTTATCATATTTCTTTTATTTTAACATGTTGATGTAGTGGCAGATTATCAGAATTGTACTCGTAGATCGAGACTGAACACAATACTTTATCTCTTCTCAGTACCTCAAATAAAAGTTTACACTTGCCTATTGTTATAAAGGCTATTGGTGGAGACTTTCAACAAACGATTTATTAACTCTCTGTGGCATGCATTTCATCATGGAAAAATGTTGTTTAAGAGGCATGTATGGGTACCTCAAAAACGTATCTGAGGGCAAGTTGTGCGGGCACACAGAAGCCACAACACGTGTTGATCTGCGTGTACGTTCTGAGAGCACGTAGATAATGATAGATTTTCAATGTTCATCGGCGTATTTCTACAAAGGATCTGTTTCTTCTGACCAAATGTAGCCTCTTTATAGCTTTATATAATAGTCAAGTGAGGATATACAAGGAATTGGTAGTACGCTCAGACTTGACTTGCGTGGCATCTGCTGCCCTCAGATCGTGCAAACAAATCAACAAGCACCCAACAGTGTTGCAGCTTCTCTGTGCTTGCACAACTCCCGCACTCTCAATAACATTTTGCATCAAATAAAGAACTCCAAACTTTCAAAATGTCATTTGTGTTGTATTTCATTGACTGAAACACAAAATCCAGAATAGTATATTCCACTTCATAACGGCAGCTTATCATTCCTGCGCTCTCACTACTCTTTTCTGCAAAACATGGTGCATTTTGTGCTGTAGAACATCAAACATTTCAATCATAGAAGTTCAAAAACCACAAGTATGTACGGTAACATTGCCAAATTGAATAGACACTAATAAAACACTAAGAATTTGTAATTCTGATAAAAATCTCCATTTGAAAATTGTACAAATATCAAAATGAAATAAATAAATAAATACAAATCACCAAATATATGAAATGTTTGACTTTATTATTTCTTTCAACAACAAAAAATAGACAAGATTTGTACATTTCCTGTGTTGATTTCAAACACACAAACCCTTCTGTGGATCAATGAACTGCACAGCAAAAATAGTGTAAAGAGAAATAATGGCACACATTTTCAGAAGAAAAAAAAAAAGTATTTCTGTTCCCTGCACTCAATCTGTTGAGGCTTATTTCAAACTGCTAAATGTTTTTTCTATATTTGGGGCAAGTGGACATTAAATGCCACACAAGGAATTTTTTTTTTAATAAACCAGCAGTTGTCTTTTAGCTACGACTGTGAAAGGGTCAAATCGGGAATACTACCAAAACTTTCACACAGTAATTGGTATAACTGAATGGAGCATTACAATGATACTGATACATGGATTTATTTGTACATATCGGTACTTGCTTTTAAACTTTTGAATGCCACATTTATCCTATTCTTATTTTGTACAACTTTTTAATATATATTTTTATTTTTATAATTTCTGTCTTAATTTAGGACCATAATTTCTCATTGGCTAGTTTTAATCAAAATCTTTGAGAAATATGGACAAAATTGACGTTATTTCATGAGTTGAGACAAATGCCTTTGGCGTTCAAAATGTTAAGCAGCCATTAAATAAAAAAAAATGGTAAAAACACAACATTTTATTTTTTATATAAGATATCTGAGAAGATCTATAATATAAATTGATGGATCGGATTTATCTTTTCAAAAGTTTAATCCAAAAGGAGTAAGTACAATTAAAGGAATAGCTGCAATGAATTTCAGTGAGACTCATTAGTGGAACAGCCACTGTTCTGAGTGTTAAAAGAAATTTGTTCAAATTGTATTGGCACTATGTCAACCATCAAAAATCTGGTTTACTTAACCCTTTGAGCGTCTAAATTTTACTTGACTGAATTTGAGTGCAGCATTTTACCTGTTTTTATGCATTTTTCCAAACAAGTTTTGATAATTTTGAACCAAATGGACTTACTTTTCTATTGGCTAAAAGTCAGGATCAACATTTTGGAAAAATTACAAAAAAAGTTTAAATTTGTGAATTGTGTTGAAAGTTGACTTTGGCGCTCAAAGGTTTAACACTAATTACACTCTTGGATAGTTGCATAGATTAAGTGCTGAGTGGTATAATGAATAATGCTGTAATAGGTTTATATCACACTTCACACAATAATAGAATAAATTCATATGAATAAGAAGTTATTTACACAATCAATTTCAAGATATGTAAATTTGTTCTCTCTGAGGAAATTACTAATGACTATTTTTAAGTATTTACAAAAAAAAAAGTTGAGACTGCATGTGTTGACTTCACCATCATTCAACAAACAAGTGACCAGTCATATCGTATTTGCTTAGTAGCGTAAATGACAGAGGTGGCTCTGTGATCAAATTAAGTTGTAATATAATTACCCAGGGTACATTAAATGTTATTTTTGGTTCATGTAAGCTTATGTTGGAAGATGGTGCATATACGGTTATAGTGTTAGTTTTTGTCATCGCCATTGTTAAATACTGAAAGTGTTGAAGCAAGAGTACCAATGGTAAGGAACTTTTTTTTTCAACCATGGTTGTTTTCTGATTCATTAGCTTGGGATTACATAGCAAACGTGTTTCTGAACCTGGAACTGGAATTTCAAATCGCCATGTAAAAAAAAAAGTGGTCTGTTTCTCCACAACGGCTCTATGGAATTATGGGTAAGCTTAGTCTTTTTCCCAATGGAATCATGGGACTCGATTGTTACCGGTACTTGCACTATAAATCTGTTTTTAATACTGTGAGTACATTTTTTGTGTGAGATGAGGCTCACACTGAGATGTCCCTTTAACTGAGATGTCCCTTTAACTAAGATGTCACTTACAATACAAACGCTGCTATTGGTCTCCCTAATGATTGGTCAATGTCTATTGATTCATAGTTGTCAGAAGCAAAATTATGCATTAACCATAAGGTGCACGAATTTGAAAATAATTGTAAAACTTTTAAATAAATGTTTTTATCTGCAACACATTAGCACCTTCACCCTTATTTTCCAATTCAGTTAAAAGAAGCAAACAAAAATTCAAGTGGTGGGCATTTTGTAGAAAACTGACATTCGGGTGTATTTATACTTGTTTTAAATCAACTAAAAAAAACAGTGCCCTCAATGTCAGCTTTAGGTTAAAGTCAAGAAATCCAACATTTGATTTGAAAAAAAAAAATCAAAAATTTTAATTGTTTGTATAGAAATATTTACAAAGTTTTATTAATTTTGTTTTCGTCTAGTTTTATCCGAAACACACTATGCGCACATCTGTCCTGTGTTGCATACAAATAGCAGTGCTTTGAATATTTTCCACACCTTTATATATTCAATGTTTATAATTCAGAATACTTATTCCAAGTACTGATAAACCACCCAGCTATTACCCTCACATGTTAGAATGGAATAACCTAATGGGGGGAAAAAAAAGCTACAGATAACCCAAAGCAAAATGATGTGGGAGAGAGAGTAGAAATATATGTTTTCAGCCCAGCATAGCTGGTTAAAAAAGAATTGTGGACGGAATAACACAAGTTTAATGGAACAATAATTTTAATATTGTACCAGTATCATCTGATCTAATATTTTGTCTAACAAAACTTAACAGTGATTTAGTGACTGACTTGTACAGTGGTATTAACTGTCACTTGTGGTGGTGTTATCACTCAACAAAAATCGGCGAAATGAAGTATTTTGGTTTTGAAAGTTGATCTACAAATTCATTCCAGTTGTCTTATCAGTCACCCTCATGTCAACACTGTTTTGGTGAGGTCACTGACTTGGAGACATCAACATTTATTGGATAACATTTACAATGATTTGGAGATAATTTTTATGAGATCAACGATGATGCGACTGATTTTGTGGCATCATCACAGTTGTCATGACAGCAATGATTTTGTAGCACCATTAATTTGATGACAGCAATGATTTTGTTATGTCACTGATTCAGTGGCATCATCATTGATCTGATGACCAAAATTGTGACATCACTGATTCAGTGGCATCATCATTGATCTGATGACCAAATTTGTGACATCACTGATTCAGTGGCATAATTATTGATCTGATGACCAAAATTGTGACATCACTGATTCAGTGGCATAATCATTGATCTGATGACTAAAATTGTGACATCACTGATTCAGTGGCATCATCATTGATCTAATGACCAAAATTGTGACATCACTGATTCAGTGGCATCATCATTGATCTGATGCCCGAAATTGTGATACCACTGATTCAGTGGCATCATCATTGATCTGATGACCAAAATTTTGACATCACTGATTCAGTGGCATCATCATTGATCTGATGACCGAAATTGTGATATCACTGATTCAGTGGCATCATCATTGATCTGATGACCAAAATGTTGACATCACTGATTCAGTGGCATCATCATTGATCTGATGACCAAAATTGTGACATCACTGATTCAGTGGCATCATCATTGATCTGATGACCAAAATTGTGACATCACTGATTCACTATCATCACTGGTCTGATCCCACACCAACAATGTTTTAGTTAACTTGCGAGTCTTCTGGGCACCATTGTGTCGCTTTGTTGTCTGACAACACTGATTTCAGTGACTGTCTTTGTGCTAGGATATCCTGATCTCCTACAGACATTGAACTGTAACGTAGACGAGGTTCGGCATTCAGACCAGCTTGCCTGGATCTTGGTGTACGTGTTGGTGGACGTGGTGAGTGGCTTATTCTGAAAATATCAGGTTTGGTCTCTTTCTTTTTCAATGACGGATGCTCTGAAAGAAAAAAAACAAACAATTTTCATGAAATGGAAGTTAATCACAACCACTGGTCAGTCTGACTGGGAATGATACAAAACTCTGGTGGTAAAGACCGAAAATGGGGACTTCATGTCTGTGCATCTTTCCACGCCTATATCTCAGACATGTCTTAAACTTCACAACCACATACAGATATGTATTAATTTCATGATCCCATTCAAGATGGTCAAATGACGGCAATTTTAGTGCTAATATTGCATCAAAATTTCTGCCATTAATTGGATTTGATCTTGGTCAAGCTTGAACAGATTTCGTTTTCGCATACATTGAAGACATTTGTTATTTTGTTCCACAAATTGGATTCAAAATGGTGGCTACTTTTTTTACCACTTTGAGTGCCAATTTTTTGTCGCCATTCAAAAAATTAAAAGCCATATCATTTTTTTTTCTATTTTACCAACATTTTTATAAAGACCTGTAGTCAATAGGAAATTGTGTACATTTGGTTCAAAAGAAAAATACTCAAAAACAAGCAAAATGTGACCCTAAAATCTGGGCAAGAAAAAATGTTGGCACTCAACGGAACATAAATTCCGCATGTTGTAAAAGTCAAACAAGTCTGATAATCTGTTATAATGGTGTCAAGGATCACTGTAAACTCTCACCTTTGTCTTCGTATATAGTGTCTTTATGTCCATTTTGTGCCGGGGGTTGCCATTCATATCGTGAATATCTTCCGCTAGCCGCTGTGTTCAATCTCTTCTCATTCTGACCGCCGTTCAAGTAGGGTAATTCCGTCCTTTCTTCTGGTTCTTTTAAGATGTTTGCCTGTTGTGTTCTCGGTCGTTCTTGGACCTCCACATATTCCGGGTTATTTTGTCTCTGCCAGTAGTCTTGTTCATTGGCCAGCGCTGACTGAATCATGTCCATGACCAAATCTTTTTCTGTGTCAAATATTAATATAATTAGTCTTGAATATTCATAAAACCATAAATTTGTTGACTATTTTCTTAATAATTGTCAAGTAAGATTCAAAAATAGTAAAATATGCAAATTAGACGCTGTGATCTCATTGAGAACGACATAACCACGCAACTTCATTTTTCCCCTCAAATTGTGTTCAATTCTCTCACCTAAGGGTGCCATCATCATGTTCACTGGTTCACTGATCTATGTAATCATGGTAATTCAAACAGTGGACACCATGACGGTAAAGAACGGAACCTTATTTTATGGGCAAAAACAAGTCTGGTGGCTTTTTCGCTCTCAACAAGATCTCGGCGACAATTTACGTCCAAGTTCGACTTGAATATTTGAGATCATTTGTTGCAAGTATTTCAAAATATATTATTTTATAAAAAAAAAAATTTTTGCTGTAGAGAGTTTTTATTACTACTAACCTCTTTGACCCGCTGAGACTAACCATGCCTGCACTGCAGGGATTGAATCAGTTTGTAATATCTGACACAGCATTTCTAGCACCTGTAACAGAAAATAATAATAATTATATTGTATCTACTCGGATGTAAAAAATGCCTTCCATCGTAATTTAAATGTAGTAATTTGAAAGTGTAGTGCAAACTTGTGTACTTAAATTAATGTTTCATGTTGAGTAAAAACATGGCTGGTAACATGCGATATTATTGGTCAAAACAAGTTTGAAAATAAGCACACAAACTGACTGTACAACA